GCGGCCTAGCCTATGTAAATATTTGCTGGAAACCCTGACCATGCCCATTGCCATGGGCATTCCATTCCATTCCCAGTCTCCGGCTGCGACTCCGTCCCTATCCCTGGCCTAATGTGGCGCCTGGCCATAATTCAGAACGCAGCAGGAGCTCGGATCGCATAGAGTGACAAGTGCAGCAGCGGCAACGGCAGCGGCAGAAGAAGAAGCCGACGAAGACGCCGCTCTGTCGCCGGTTCGCTCATAAAAATCTTTATTCTTTCGGCGTTGACAATCGGGTTTCGGTAACTCTGATCTACCTGCGCTTTTCACACTTTGTCCACAAAGGTCCAGCACTGTCCCATCCGTCTCCGTCACCGTCCCCGTCCCGTCCCATCTGCGCGTACCCTATTATCTTGGGGTGGGCCACAACATACGAGTATTTCTGATATAGGATTTCGACTACCGAACCGAGAAAAATTTACATAAATATGAGCAGCGGATCGTCTTCGTGGATCTGGGCATGGCTCTATACGCAGTCACTTTCTCGGCTCATTAAATATGCATTGAGTGGCACATTCAGCGTTTTGGAAGCCGTTAAGTCGACTTCAGATCTTTTCTAATTGCTTGGCGCCAAGCGGTGCTCCCGCTCCCGCTCCCGCACCCGCTCACGCTCCCGTTCCGCTGGTCTTTGGTCTTCCCCTCTTCATCCTCTATCGCCAAAGATTCTCCAAGGGAACACAATTAATCATGTGTCAGTGGCATTGTTTTGGGACCAGGGATATGTTTGCGTTCCGTTTTAGATCGATACGTTGCGGAGACTCCCCGCTGCCCGTTCTGATTCCATAATTACACACTTGCTAGGCAGGGCCACAAATCAAAAATCAAGTAACATGGAGTTGGAATAGATGCCCCGTGACGCCTCTTTTTGCGCTTGGGATAGCCCCGACGGCCCTGATTTATATGCAATTCGTGGCAATCCACTTAATCAAGGTCTATTCTTCGTTGCAGACGTATGTTCCCCTCGATGCGGGTCTCGTTGAGTGGACTCGAGGAGGAGGCCAGCTACTGCGTGCTCCTGGAGATGGTGCCCATTGGAGACTGCCGCTACAAGTTCTCCGGCTCCCAGTGGGTTCCGGCTGGAGGAGCCGAACCGCAGAGCCCCCAGCGAATGTATCTGCATCCGGACAGCCCGGCCACAGGCGCCCACTGGCAGTCGCAAGCCCTGCTCTTCAATAAAGTGAAGCTGACCAACAATACCCTGGACAGCAGCGGACATGTAAGCTAGAATATAACGAACCCTCATGCTCTAGTGTATCTAATCATTGATCTCTCTCTTTCTCTTCCTCAGATTGTTTTGGCCAGCATGCATAAGTACCAGCCACGCCTCCACATCATTCGCAGCAGTGAGCTCACCCAACTCCCCTGGGCCCCGCAGCAGGCATTCATCTTCCCGGAGACGGAGTTCGTAGCAGTCACAGCCTATCAGGTGGGTAAACAGACACAGAGACAGACACAGACCACGACCAATTCATTGAAGATTGACGGGATAAAGGCTCTGCGGGAGTCCCAGTCTAATTGCCACATTTGAAAAGTGTCGCCTCGGAAACTACTTGAGATTGTCTCCATTCACGACAATTCTAACAAGGATCCGTCTCGAACTTTTCAAGTGCTGCTTGGTCGACGCGACGGCTCACTCACACTCACTGACGCCAGCTAGCTCGAATTTCCTGAATGTTTACTTACTTTTCCCATTTCTATTTTCCTAATACAGAACGATCGCATAACCAAGCTGAAGATCGACAATAATCCCTTTGCCAAAGGATTTCGCGAGTCGGGACAGTCGCGGTGCAAGCGCAAGCTTAACAGCACCTCCCATTCCAGCCCGGAATCGGAGGATGACGGTTCCAGCGTTAGCAGCTGCGAATCGCCGCAATCGAAGCGCCAGCGCCTGGACTGTGAGCAGGACTCACAAGGAAGTCTATCACCAGTACCCTATTATCCGTCTTCAACTGTTGCTGAGGTTGCGGCTTCCCTTAGCCCCAGCCTCTCGCCCTATCATCGCCATCCACTCAGCTATGCCACGCCGAACTTTGCAGCTGCCTATTTTTGTGGAGTTCCTCAAGTTCCACCGATGCCGCTGCCTTCTGCACTTTGTCAGGTGCCTACTCCAGTTCCGGTCAGCGCTTTGCAGCTATCGACATCCCCGGCAAGCTCAAGCATCACAAACACGCCACGCACAACGACCTCCACCAAACGGAACAGCTTCAGCATCTCTGCCATTTTGGCCTATTGAAAAGAGGAAGGGAATGGATGCCAGCATTTGTTGTGATCTGTGAGAGCAGTGTGCATATTTTTTTTTTGTCCTTTTTTTTTATTAAAATTATTTTTAATAATTTTGGAAATATAGTAATATTACAATTAATTAAGCAGAGCGCTAGCAACGAGGCCTTCGGCCTATACATATGTATGTATGTAAGATATACTAAGCTACAATCAAATAATTTGTTAATTAGTTTTAATTGTATTTGGACAGAATAAACAAAAATAAATCAAATGAAAACTTAATGCATAACTACAAATATAGACTGCGGGCAACGCAACCTTCAGCATTTCCGTTTTTACAGGTTTTGCTTATCGACGATGCCAGCCAAAAACTTGCCGAACAGACAGAGCTGAGACCGACCGCTTTGGCGAGCCCCAGTCCGAGTCTAAGACAAATTAATGTTCTCCATTATGGGGTGACCAGCCGTCGTCGATTCTCGATAGAGCCAAACGAATACACACACAGCTATCTAAGAAATATCCAACTCCGGTAGTAGTTAAAACAATTCTTGAAAGATAAGGCATCCATTATGAGCAGCGATTTGACGGCTTTCAGGTTGTTTGGTCTTTGCCGGTCCTCCACTGACCACTGACCACGACCACCATCCCACGTTCCACTGTCTCACTTTTCCACTGTCCAGGGAGAAGAGGAGATGACGTAGAAGTGGCTCACTCTGGTGGCGGCTGCTCTGCTGCCGTCTTGTGAAATTTTCGTTTTATCGCACCTTTTATGGCCATTGGCCGAAGTTGGAGCTGGCTCCGAGTTTGATACGGAGGCTGAGGCCGGCCTTAACAGAGAGCCCGAGTAGAGGCTTTCGAGGCTTTGGTGTGGTCATTCCTTGTGTGCATTATCGTGTCAAATGCGACAAATCTGTCTGTGGGCCGGCGGCGGCTGCCTTTTAGCTTGCATAATTGAGCTGATAAGCGGCCAAGCATGTGTGCGGTCCGCTTTGAGCGTTTCCTAAACGGTGGCGCCAAACATTTCGTGTTTAATATTTTTAATTAAGTTTTTAAGTGCAGCCACCAGGCAGGCAACATTGGAAGAAAACTCGAAAGAAGAAGCTGAATTTCTAACTGGAAGACCCCACTCCCCAAGGCGGCTGGTTCAAAGGTTTTCAAAACGAATCCCATTCATAGAAAACTTTGCATAGATTATTAATAATCAATCCCAGCGCGAAATAATTCACTGGCCACACGAAACCGAATCCCATTCCGACTCCGAGTTCAAAGTTGCTTTGACTAATTTGAAGTTAGTTTTATTTTAGCGTTTTTTTTTCTCCCCTTCGATTTGTTGTTGTCGCATAAATTTGAATTTCAAATGCTGAAACAATTAAATTATGGGATTTGCACGTTTTCACCAAAAACAAAAGCGGCTAAAGCACACATAAAATGTTGGCGGCGACTGCGGCTGCGCCTCAGAAGTGTTTTTTAAATGTAAAGTTTCATTTCGTTGCTGGCTTCTATTCAAAAACGGTGGCAAAAAGCGTCAAAATTCGGAGATTATGAGATAAAAATGCTAATAATCTTCACCGCTCACGGTATTGCATTTCTAATTTGCGCTTGTTTTAATATAGTTAATGAATTTTTATGTGTAGGTTGGTCGCTGGTACATTCCAGATCCGGTTTTCGCTCGAAGCTGTTGATAATGATAATGAGGATAACGATGCTTTATTGGGAAGGTGTTGCCGTTTGGATTTGATTTTTATTTTATTTGCGCCACATGTGTGATTTCGTGTGCTGTTTGTTGTTGGCACATTTATTCTTCATTACTTCATTATTTGGTATTTAAGCTTTAAGCTATTAAAATTTTGTCGCATTCTGTTTTACGAGGCAACAGTCAGAAACATTTGATTAAATTGTGCGAACGAACAGTTAGGAGAAGCTACAAATATTTTAATAGCTACCAACAATTCTTTTTATAAATTGAATTTGATATTTTGGAGTTGCGCCAACACAGATGTGTGTGAAGCAACCAGTTAAAAAAATCTGCATAACAATCGATACAGGATATTTGTACGGTCACGAAATGACGTGGCCCAGATCGGTCCCCAAATAGCACAGAAACAAGATATAAGATATAACATGACTCCAGAAAATATCCTTAGTCCTTGATCCTTGATAACGACGCCATAAAATTACGGGTTTTCTTCCGATTACAGGAAGCCGTCGAAGATGAAAGGAGAAAACAAGATTTAGCAATTTTATATGTATTAGGATAAATGTATACATATAGGGTATTTGTGGTGGATATGGATGTGTATAACGCCCAGAATGAAGCGTTTGCGACTTCATACAAATTGCCGAATCTGGATGAGATCGAATCATGTTTACAACCATAAAAAACAAATGAAATTCTACGTTACGCCTACCACTCGCTTACATATTCTCTCTCACTCTCTCTCACACACTATACATTAGTTCTTAGTTAAACATGAAATATCGTTAAAAAATAAAATATCGATTTTTGTAACGGAAACTTTTACGTGATTTTTTTTTTCAGCCAATGAAAATCGTCAAAATATTTATAAAAAACGGTGTGCGCTCTCTGGCGGAAGGGAGCGAGATAAGACGAGACGGCAGCAGTAGTGCAACACTATGCCGATAGAGCGCTTGAGTGCAGCAACAGTAGTTGGCGTTGCCATATCGATCAAATTCAGCTGTTCACATATAATTTAAATTTATTTAATTTAATTCATTTCAAAATTCCAGTTAAATTTAAAATAATGCTGCGACTACGACCATTTCGCCTAGAGACATTTAAAGTTTTTTGCCGACATGCGAGCAAGACAGGGGGAGGCAAGCCTGTAGACTCGAATGCATTGGCGCAGCTGGAAGAGGGCTACAAGAAACTGGTTGCCTCCAATTCCAAATCGTTGCTGAAAAAGCACCTTAAAAAAGATATCTTTGACAACTTGAAAAAGAAGACAACACCATCCTTCAATTCTTCGCTGCTGGACTGCATTCAATCTGGGCTGTGCAACCACGACTCAGGCGTGGGAATCTACGCCCCCGACGCAGAGGCGTACAAAACGTTCGCCGATCTGTTCGATCCCATCATTGAGGACTACCATGGTGGCTTCAAGAAAACGGACAAGCACCCCGAGTCCTGCTTCGGACAGGGCAAGGATTTCGCTAATCTTGATCCCAACAACAAGTACATTGTGTCCACGCGTGTCCGATGCGGACGTTCTGTGAAAAACTTCCCCTTCAATCCCTGCCTGAGCGAGTTTGAGTATGCGGAGCTGGAGTGCATGATATCCGGTGCTTTGAATACGATGAGCGGTCAATATAAAGGTGGCTACCTACCGCTCTGCGGTATGGAGAAATCCGTACAGCAGAAACTGATCGACGAGCACTTCCTGTTCAAGGAGGGCGACCGGTTCCTGGAGACGGCTGGTGCCTCGCGCTTTTGGCCCATCGGACGAGGCATTTACTTCAACGAGGCGCGCAATTTCCTAGTATGGGTTAACGAAGAGGACCACATCCGCATCATCTCCATGGAGAAGGGCGGGGATTTGGGCAAGGTGTACGATCGCATGCTCGGCGGCGTCGAGGCCCTGGGCAAGTATCTGCAGTTCAGCCGCGACCAGCGTCTTGGCTATCTAACCTTCTGCCCTACAAATCTGGGCACAACAATCCGCGCGTCCGTTCACATCAAGCTGCCCAATCTGACGGCGAATCCAGAGGAGATGCAAAAGCTGGCCACCAAATACAATCTGCAGGTGCGAGGCACTAGCGGCGAGCACACCGAGGCCAAGGGCGGGGTCCACGATATCTCCAATAAACGACGGATGGGTCTCACCGAGTACGAGGCCGTCAAAGAGATGTACGATGGCATTCGCGCCCTGATCGATGCCGAGAACAAGGTGTGCAAGTAGTAGCAGCCTACAGTCTACATCTTCGATTAGAATTTGGATACTGTAAATAAATGCATTTAAAATGCCAAGAATACTTACACTTTTGAGTCATTTTATCGTCAGTCAAGACACTTAATGGTTGGTTTATTTTTTTTTTATTTTTTTAATAATTTTAATTCTTTTATAAACTTAAGACTTAAAATAAAAGTATTTAAAGTTTTTGTTTTTTTTTTTTGTTTGACACGAGTGTCAAAATGTTACACATTCTTTTGTTTTGAATTAAGCAAATGTTTTTTTCTTGTCAAATAGTTCTCCATTGTTGTTTCTGGTGTTGCTGTTGTTGTGGGTGGTAGTGTTGCAAGGACTGCATGTTGTTGTAGAACGGATCTCTCAAAGTATACGAAAATGCCGAAAGACGCCAGGACTATGACAGACAGCTGCTCCACAATCACTACAAACTAGATTGATTGGCAGCTCGCACCGCCCAAAAGCGACAAGGCGGACGAGCTGAAGATTTCTACGTGTTTCTGTTGTTGTTCTTCTTGTTTTTTTGTTTGTTTTTATTGTTTCGTTCCCTGACTGGAGGCGAGGCGATGGTGTTGCACGTGCAGAGCCGGGGAGAACGTTGCTTGGTGGTTTGCTGTTAACAATTTACAAGCTCTTCTCAAGCTTGATCAGCTCGGTGATGCCATCGTACATCTCTTTGACGGCATCGTATTCGGTAAGACCCATGCGACGCTTGTTGGAGATGTCATATACACCGCCCTCTGCTTCGGTGTGCTCGCCACGTGTGCCGCGCACCTGAAGGTTGTACTTGGCGGCAACTTCCTCGAGCTTGGCCTTGTTAGAGGCCAATTTAGGGACCTTGATGTGCACGGATGCACGGATGGTGGTGCCCAAGTTGGTGGGGCAGAAGGTCAAGAAACCAAGACGATCATCGTGGCTGAAGGGCACACGCTTCTCGATCTCGTTGACGGCAGTGACCAGGCGAGTGTAAATCTGGCCCAGATCACCACCCTGCTGCATGGAGATGATGCGGAGATGATCCTCCTCATTGCACCAGACCAGGAAGGTCTTGGCATCGTTGTGGTAGATGCCACGGCCGCTGGGCCAGTAACGGCAAGCGTTGGCAGCCTGGAGGAATCGATCGCCCTCCTTGAACAAGAAGTGATCATCGATGAGCTGCTGCTGCACGCCCTTCTCCATGCCAGTCAGGGGGTAGAACTTGCCCTTCAGCTCACCATCCAGACCGGACAGGGTGGTGCTGACCTTGCCCTCCATCTCCTTGTACTGGGCCTCGGTCAAGCAGGGGTTGAAAGGATAACCCTGCATGGAGCGACCGCAACGGACGCGAGTAGAGATCACATACTCGTTGGTTGGGTCCACGTTGCCGAAGCTCTTGACATCACCGAAGTTCGAGGCCGGGTGCTTGTCGGTCTTCTTGAAGCCACCATGGTAGTCCTCAATGATGGGATCGAACAGATCGGCGAAAACTGTGTACGACTCAGCATCGGGGGCATAGATGCCGACGCCGGAGTCGTGGTTCTCCAGACCGGACTGGATCACATCCAGAAGAGTCGACTTGAAGGTGGGGGTCACCTTGTTCTTCAAGTTGTCGAAGACCTCCTTGGTCAGGTACTTCTTCAACAGCGATTTCGAGTCGGAGGCGGCCAGCTTGGCAAAGCCCTCTTCCAGTTTAGCGAGAACAGCAGCGTCAACCATGGTGTCTTGTTTGCTGCAAGTGGATAAAAAACACGGACACAGTTAGTTTAGGGCGTGGCAGTATATGGCACTAAATAATATGAGATTCCCATTAAGTTGTTATTCCGTGTGTTTGTGGCGCCTAAAAGACGGCAACACGTCCCCGCATTTCCTCAATTCCTTTTTGTTTGTCCCCGCAATTAGTTTTGGGGTTATGGCCATGTGCTCACTCTCGACTTTGTCCCGCCGGCACGCGACTGCCACACAATACACCATATACCCCTCACCTCTTACCGATTACCACCACCCATCCCATCACCCATCACATCACCCCTGATCCATACGTACGCCCCTTGTGTACGATTGTACGGTTGCTGCCTTGTACACGGTGGTTGCTGTCTGCTCCTCTGTGTCGCCTCTTCTCTCTGGCGGGTGTCCTGCTTTTGGTGGTGGCTGACTAAAACATTTTTGCCGGCTGCCGCTGAATATGCAAACGACGGCACACTATATCAATGTACACGCCTCGGCTCTGACTCTGCCATGCGCACTACAGCAACATGGCGACGAACTGGCCCCCAGTCAGAGCCAGAGCCCGAACTAGAGGTTCAGCCAAAGTTCAGGGCAATAATAACTTTTGTATGGCATTTTATTTTTGGGGGCTTTTCACAGAAAACTTCACGCAGTCCCCCCGATACCTCCCCGTCCTGCGACGGGGACGACGACACACACACATGACGTCAGATCCAGGGATACAGACACAATGCCCGCCCATCGTCTAGGACCTAGGCCAAAAGGGAAGCCCTAGGCCTAGCTCAAGACCAAGACCACTAGACCCTACTAGTATGTACACACCCATCTTCTCCAGCAACAGCAGCAGCTGTGGCTGCGGTTCCATTGGGCTCTCCTCCGTTGGCTACATCGCCCTCGATCACCTTCTCCTTCTTATCCTTGGAGGCACACAGACCCATTTTTTAGTAGGTGTTTTTGTGTGTGTTGTAGATTGGTTGTAAAGTTTCAAAAACGTTTAAAAATTTGGCGTTTGCTTGGTCACAAAGTTGGTGTTTTTGTTGGTGTGTATAAAAATTGGGGAGGATTCCCACTTAATCTTCTTTTTTTTATGCTTTTGCTTTTGCAGGTAAAATGAAATCACAATGTAGCTATAGCTCTACTATAGGATATAGATCTATAATCTCTCTATCTGTATCTTTATCTCCCTTCGGATCACGCTTAAACCCACAGACAAAAAAAAGATACACAGACACGCCGCTTGACTTAATGTTTAATGGGTATTGCTTTTCGACTTTCAATGATTTTCGGTGTTTTTGGTGGTCTGCTTCGTTGGTATCAAAATAACGGACGCAACAATTTTAGAAATATTAATATTTTAGTTCGGTTTTTCGGATTTATTTCTTTTTTCTGCGAACTCTCTTTCAGGCTTTCAGCTGCCGCGCCCAAAAGTATACTACACTAAACAAACACTACGCAACGTTTTCGAAGGGAGCAAAGGACTTGCTGACTGCTGCTTGGTTGGCTGACTACTACTGGTACTGGCATTGGTACAGAGCTGCTCTGCTCTGCTCTGCCACTGCTACTCTTTCGTGGGCTGTCTGCACAATGTTTAGCGCGCGCGTTTTGCTCGACAAACGAAAACGAGGGCTACAAGGACTACGAGAACTTGGATATGGACGAACGAACTCAATCGGCAAATCGAAAGGAACTGAGAGCTGACGCATCCATGGGCCCCGCACATAGCCGACAGTCGGCATTTGTAACACGAGAGGATTCAGCAGAGAGAAACAGCAACAGAGACAGAGAGAGCAAGAGAGCGAGCGCGAGGCATCGCTGTATTTGCTGAAAATTCTCAATTTCTTTATTTTAGCTGTGAGAGGGTTGGTCCGAGAGGTCGAGGGTTGCAGCAGCAGCAGCATTGCCTACCCGCAGGCGCCGGCCCAAACTGTTGCCGGATGAGCGGCTACATAATGCGGAAGGATATATTTATATGATGCGTTGGGCGCACCCCACTCAGACCCACCACGACCAGATCCAACCCGTTGCCTCGTTCGAGTGAATCAATAAAATTTATAGCACGCGACGCAGTAGGCAGCTGCGAATTGTTGAGCATAGAGCCGGATCAGGGACAGAAGCAGGAGCAGCACACACAAAAAAGGAGACGGCGACAGGGATGTTCGGTCAAGTCAACTTCAAGTGTCGTGCTAGAGTGTGAAATGTGCTTCTGGTAATGACATGAACGAGACAATCATCCCATCCCATTCCATCCTCCATTTCTTTGCCGGCTCAAGTGAGAAAAAAAAAATCAATTACTCGGTAAATCGAAATTAAAGCCAGCTTGCGGGTTTCCCAGGACCAGGGTAAAGCGTGTACTCAAGGCTTTAAATAATCCATTGTGAGTTATGTGAAAGGAGGTTCGGTCCTGTCAGTACTTCCAGTAGAGTCCTGGCCGCTGGCTGATCCAAGTCGGGAAGGGGGCATAGGATGAATGGATCCAGTTCAGTTCAATGAAACCGGCTGCCACCAGAGACATTGCATGTCGAGTGCACATTAGTTCGTGAAAAATTTCATTTACTTTGCCCGAACCACATCCCATGCCCCAGCCCCAGCCCCAGACCCGGCCTTTGTCGGACACCTCTTATTTCAGACTTTTGTTTTGTTTTGGCTAATTTCATTTGCAGCTTCAATTACACGGCCAGACAGGGAGTCAGTCAGTGGCAAAGTCAATAACAGTCATTCCTTCTCCAGGGTGAGTAATCGCCAACGATCGATCAGTTTTCTTTCCATCTCCAGTTGCCATTCGTCCGTCTGGTGCTTTTGTAAATATTGATTTGAAATGGAAAACACTTTGCCAACTCAGCCCCACCTCTGAGCCTTCTCCTCCTCCCTCTGCTCTGCTCTGTCTGTGCAGCCGTTATTGATTGTGGAAACTTACGGGCCACCTACCATTCGGGAGTCATACGAGTTTGTACTGTCGGCCCTCCACTTTGAATGAGTAAACTTAGGCTTGTTAATGCCCTCTAAAGATAGTGGAGGAGCTTCGCTAATTGCAACGCACTGGGGACTGGTTATAGGGTGTACAAATACGAATACGAGTTCTACGAGTGCTAAAATCTCGAAAGATAATAATAATGGCCATAAATGGCAGCTGACTTAGAGGCGTTTGGAACTTATCAATTAACTCGAGTGCCCTGCCCGATAGTCAATGAAAGATTGACTTGATGAAACTGGAGCACACACATACACATAAAGTGGGGGGACAACCGAAGGAAAAACCCCACTGGAAAGGCAGGTCCTTCAATGACAAGCAAATCAAATTAAAATACAGATTTCGTTATGCAACCGCCGTAACGATGAAGTACACAACCACAACCACCACCACCG